ATGTGTCATTTTACACCAGTTTGGAAGTCGTACTATAGTATGTGTCATTTTACACCAGTTTGGAAATCATACTATAGTATGTGTCATTTTACACCAGTTTGGAAGTCATACTACAGGATGTGTCATTTTACACCAGTTTGGAAGTCATACTATAGCATGTGTCATTTTACACCAGTTTGGAAGTCGTACTATAATGTTATGGAAATCTTCCATTAAACAAGAGGACAGTATCGGCCATTAATGGACCAACACCATCTCTGCTCTGATTTTATGCACCTTTCATTCAGCCATAAGTGTCGCAACCATTATATGTGAAGGCGACATGTTCCCCCACATTAAAAATATGTTCAATTGGACCCCCCCCCCCCCACACACACACACACACACACACACACTTTTACTATGAAACATTAGTTCTGTCGGCGCAGTCTCTTTCTTTGTGAACGCATCCATTCCACTTGATTAATAGGAGAATACTCAAACCACTAAAAGTCCACTCCAGGTTTTCCTGTTTCCCTCCAACTCTAAGCACAGCAGCCTGTTGCCTGCACGGTGTCTGTGCGTCTCGAGAGGAGCTACGTCTGTAGCACGTTACACCTGCAGCGTCTCACAGTTACTGCAGGTGTAAGAGACTCTGTGTGTTCAGGTGCATTAAAGTTGAAATGTCTTTAAAACCCACAGCTGAATTTACACAAACTTTGTGAGAAACATGTTTTAAATGTGTGGAATTAAAGTTAATCTATGTGAAATGCTGTTTTTTGTTCACTAGTGAACACTTTTTTACGTGCACACACATCATTGTGTCCCCCCCACATTACGGATGCTTCTGACGCCCTTGCATTCAGCTGCGCGTTCCTAACGACAGGTGTGTCCCAAAGCAGACGTGTCAGAGCTGACCGCATGTCTGAGAGATCTAGAAGAAAGCAGCAGAAACATGGTTTAAATGCTCTTTTACGGCCATGAAAAAACAAACACCCCCCTCAGTTCTGCCCCTTTTATTCAGCTGCGTGCCTCAGACCGTTAATAATTAATAAAAAATGTCTGTTTTTTTTCCGGGTTCGGACCTGTAATTACTGTTATTTCATCAGGTCGGTTGGGGTTTGGAAATGACTGCAGCCTGGGGCCGGGTCGGATTGTATTTCTTGACCCAAATGCAACTCTAATGACGGGTCACAATCCACCATGCGTTGCTCTCTTTTGGTGAATGGTGGTCGATTTTATGCATCTCTTGCTCGTGACGAGTCTTGGGTCTCGCCGGAGTGGGCATGGCAGTGGACGTGGTGGATTTTTTTTCCATTGTGTGGGTTCTGGTGTCGGCCTCGTGGACAAGGATGGAAACGATTACTAACTAGAGCGTTCCCATCAATGCCCACAAACAACACCCCCCCATTTCCCATAGAGCTGCATCCTGGGTGGCTCTGTGCGTCACGCTGCCCTGTTACTTAGACAGGTGGGCTTCGTTCAATTGAGGCCACCAGGCCGATGATAAAGAAAAACAACAAATACGCCGTTGCCTCGGGGAGGCCGACTGACCTCAGGGATTATTCTGCCCTGTGGTCAGCCGATGGGCCTTCCTCATCTGGTGGGTCTCTGTCTGGTGGTGGGCCCAAGAACTGTTTGCAGTGGCTGGCGTGAATAAAAGTTGCCTTCTTGGTGACCTTCACAGCTGTGTGCATTGTCAGCAGGAGCTGGAATGGTTCCAGCCAGCGATTCGACTTCCAATGCTTCTGGCAGAGGTCTTTGACCAAAACCCAGTCTCCTGGTATCAGAGGATGCAGTGGTCCTTCAACTGGTCTGGGTAAGGCAGCCTTCACAGTAGTTTGTACCTGGGTGGAGTCAAATTCTTTCAGCATGCTCAATACACCTGGAAGTCCTCCATGTGGTGTTCACCTATAGAGCTGGATAGAATCAGAAAGGAACACGGAGACAAAGAAAAGAATAGGGTCATACCCACATATTTTAGCTCCCACATCAGCTTAGCACAGATGAATTACCACAATAATAGAACACCTTCCCAGAATATACCATGCCAGACCCAGTCTAGTTTCAGTGCTCCAAGACAGGTGACTCTGACAGAGCCCTGAGGCTCCTGAGTTCAACAGGATCCTCAGAATTCCTGGTACAGATAGACCTAAATGGGTTTCACTATAAGACATTTCATAATTAAGAACAGTAACATAATCTACCAGTCTCCTTTTTACGTTTAAAAACGGACAAAAAAAGGATGTGCGCTGGACTCCTTCTGCGTAATGTGTCTTCATATCAGCGTCTTGAAACATTCACATTCTGTTTTTCCTTTCAGCTCAACAATTTCCTCTGGACCTGCCTAAAATGAGCATCATTCTTCACAGGTGTAGAAAAGAGAAATATGTGATTTCAACATTCAGTGAAAGAAGGTTTCAACTGTTACTGGAGAATCTTTGTCATATGTCAATATCAGTGATATTAGTTACTTAGTATAATTTTATTCTGCTTACTCCATTCAGCCTGTAGAAGAAAGCCTTAAACGCATGCGTAGAAAATATAGATCTGCTTTAGTAACATCATTGTCAAAACAGTACAATACAATATTTAATTCCGCTGAATAATGGAAGAAAGTCAAAATCAGTTAATGTATTCAGCTCAGCCATTGCAGCTCCAGAGATCTGGCCATAGAAAACAAGAAAAAAATCATAGTTCATGATTATTGAACCTGTCAACATCTTACAAATGGATATTGTTAAAATAATCCCCAAAAAGTAATCTTTATTGGCCTAATTAATCTAAGAACAAAGGTCCACCTTGGCTCAGTCCACTTACGTTTAGTGACCTTTGGCAAAACCCATTCAAAGGGTCTCAGCCCTTTTCCTGTGGATTCTTCTGTTTTTGTTGTTGCTGGACCTGTAAAGACAGAGAGGCTGCCAGTGTAGTTAGGATTTTACAATAAGTAGCCTACTGTGTTTAAGTTCTGCTAGGGTGTCCCCCTTAGATCTGTGGATGCTGGTCCTGGAAAATTCCTTCCTGCACACATCTCAAAGGGAGAAAGACAAGTACTGCTGTTAGTAGAAGATCCTTAGATCAGAGCATGTGGGAAATGTCTAACCAGGTGACACTACATTCATAAAAATATATTTAGTTCTAAAATCACATCTCAAGCTTGGGAGAGGTGGTCTCCCAGCTTGGTGCTATTTTCCGGAAACACAACATGCCCTTCCACTTCTACGCCGATGACTGTCAAATTTACTTCCCCTAAGACACAATGGTACATGCTCTATTCAACCTCTGCTCAACTGCCTGGCTGACATCAGGGACTGGATGGCTTTAAACTTCTTAAGCTTCAATGAAAAGAAGTCTGAAGTCATGTTGTTCCCTCCCAGCGACACGATCACAAACCACTGCATCGACCTCTCCGCTCTAACCCTGTCAGAAAAACAAAGAGTCACTAATCTGGGCGTGATAATGGACCCTTCCCTGAAACTTAACAATCACGTAAACATGATTGTTAAATCATGTTTCTTCCAACTGAGGCGGCTGTCTAAACTGAAGCCCATATTGTCCAAAAAGAACCTGGAGACAGTAATACATGCATTCATTACATCTAGGCTTGATTACTGCAATTCACTCCTGTTTGGTATCAGTCAGACCTCCATTGCACGACTACAACTGGTCCAGAATGCAGCAGCCCCATTTTTAACCAGTACAGGCTAAAGAGAGCACATTACACCAGTTTTGGCCTCACTGCACTCTCATCCCATCTCACTCATTTTTAAATGAGGTCGTTAGTCACATGAAACCCTCAGGCTCCCCTGCTGATCCCATCCCTGCTGCATTTTTTAAACAGGTTCTACCGTCAACTGGACCCTCTGTTCTTGCCATTATTAACAGCAGTTTGGCTACAGGTGTGGTCCCTGATGTTTTAAAACATGCAGTGGTAACTCCATTAATTAAAAAACCCGGACTCGACCCTGCAGCTTGTTCAAACTTCAGGCCAATCTCAAAACTTCCATTTCTTTCTAAAATCTTGGAGAAAATAGTTTTTAGTCAACTAACCAAGTTTTTGAATGTAAATGGAATTTTTGATATTTTTCAGTCAGGATTTAAACAACTGCACAGCACCAAGACAGCTTTAGTAAGGGTCTGTAATGACATCCTGCTAGCAAATGACTCTGGTCAGTCTGTGATCCTGGTACTTCTCGACCTTACCGCTGCATTTGACACTGTTGATCACAGCATCCTTATGTCACGGCTAGAACACTGGGTTGGGATTACAGGGGTGGCACTAGAATGGTTCTGGTCGTATCTGGGTGACAGGAGTTTCTGTGTTAACTTTGGCAATCATTTTTCTGCTTCTGTCCCTCTTTCCTGTGGGGTCCCACAAGGCTCCATTCTTGGACCCCTTCTTTTCTCATTGGATCTGCTCCCCTTGGGGTCAATCCTGAGGAAACATGGTATTTCGTTTCACTGTTACGCTGATGATTCTCAGATTTATCTGCCTTTAAAACCAAACAGTTCTTGCTCCATCCTCCCTTTGCTAAAATGTCTTGATGACATCAAGACTTGGATGGCTGCAAACTTCTTGAGTTTTAATGATCAGAAGACTGAGGTCATTGTGTTTAACCCAAGTTCTACCACTGTCACTGATCCTGTAAACCTGCACTCCCTTCAGCCACATCTAAAGCAGTCAGTTACCAATCTTGGGGTAGTGTTAGACTCAGACTTTAAGTTTAATAAACAGATCAACTCTGTTCTACAAAAGAGCTTCTTTCAGCTAAGGCAGATAGCAAAGCTTAAGTCCGTTCTGTCCAAATCCGACCTTGAAAAACTAGTCCATGCATTTATTACAACCCGGCTGGACTACTGTAACTCACTTTATGTTGGGGTTAGTCAGGCTTCACTCTCACGTCTCCAGCTCGTACAAAATGCTGCAGCTCAGCTACTAACAGGAACTCACAGGTTTGAGCACATTACTCCGGTTCTCTCCTCTCTTCACTGGCTTCCTGTGCGTGTCAGAGTTGATTTTAAAATTCTTCTGCTGACATTCAAGTGCATTAACGGCCTCACACCCTCATACCTCTCCGACCTTCTTCATCCTTATGCTCCTTCTCGGGCTTTGAGATCATCAGACCAGCTGCTTTTGGCCGTACCAAAAACCAGTGAAGCTCAGAGGAGATCGAGTGTTTTCAGTCATGGGCCCTAAACTCTGGAACAATCTGCCCATCAACATTCGACAGGCCACCTCAGTCTCTGCTTTTAAATCTCTCCTAAAAACACATCTGTACTCCCTGACACATCTGTACTCACTGACACATCTGTACTCCCTGACACATCTGTACTCACTGACACATCTGTACTCACTGACACATCTGTACTCACTGACACATCTGTACTCACTGACACATCTGTACTCACTGACACATCTGTACTC